ATATATATATATATATATATATATATCTACAAATATAATAACATTATATATATACACGTAGAGGGATATATGTGATTGACTGAACAGTTACGAAAAAAGTCTTCTATATAGTTCATTCTCAGTGTATCTCAACCAAAACCAAAAACTATATAGTTCATTTCCTCTGCCACAATTTATGAATTTAGAGTCATTACAACCCCATCACTGGCAGTGTACAAAGCCCAACTGAGAACAAAGAAAAAGGTACAAAGAGCAAAAACATTCAGAAGAAAGAGGATCTGTCATCTAAATTTTCTCCCTTCAAACTTCAGCACTATGTATCGTTATCTAGGACTGCGTTTTTTTTTATCATGGTTTTGGTCTCTCATTTAGTGTCCTTTTTTGCATTTCAGATCCACCAGAATTTAGACACTGCTTTTGTGGATAACGGAGACAATGTCATCTCAGAATCAAACAGAGGAAGCATTAGTCACGAACCTCAACGAGACAGATCATGAAGTTGGCAACACAAGGGAAGAAGAGAGGGAGCAAGACCAATCCATGTTCAAATTCAAGAGCCTCCTATGGCATGGTGGTTCTGTTTGGGATGCATGGTTCAGCTGTGCTTCAAATCAAGTAATTAAATCACCACAACCATTAGACTCAAATACCCAAAAAAACAAGGAACTTCCAAAAATAATTCTTTGATTTAGTTCATAATTTAAGAATGAAAGTTATACCATTTTTTTATATAGGTAGCTCAAGTGCTATTGACTCTGCCATACTCCTTTGCCCAACTTGGCATGGTATCAGGCATCTTGCTTCAGATCTTCTATGGCCTCATTGGAAGCTGGACTGCTTATCTAGTCAGTGTCCTCTACATAGAATACCGCACCAGGAAGGAAAAGGAAAATGTCAGCTTCAAGAACCATGTCATTCAGGTTGGTCTTTTGTGTTGCCTTCTTGAGACTTTTTTCATCTTCAATCATTAAATTTGGAAAACAAATTCAAGCTCCATGACGATAATTCTTTAAACTTGTGTTAATAATAAATAATGTAAGATTGAATTAGATTTGAGGGGAAAAAATATTCAAAAATTAAAATTAGTTTATAATAATATTTTAATTTGTAAAATCTCTTATATTAGCTTCCTCAAAATATGATATTTGATTTTTAACACTGTAATTAATCTGTTAAGAAAATTTACAGCAACTGAATTGGATTGTACTGTTCTTGATTTCAGTGGTTCGAAGTTCTTGATGGGCTACTTGGTCCATATTGGAAAGCAGTGGGGCTAGCCTTCAACTGTACTTTCCTCCTCTTTGGATCTGTGATTCAGCTTATAGCATGTGCAAGGTACGACCTTTGCTTCTATTTTTAAGGCAACTTGAAGCAACCTTAAGTGGGTTTTCATCCGATTCCAATAAATTTTATGTTTTTTCCCCCTTTTTAATGCTTCTTTGCCTCGAACAGTAACATCTATTACATAAACGACAAATTGTATAAACGGACATGGACTTATATTTTTGGAGCTTGCTGTGCCACCACTGTGTTCATACCATCCTTCCACAACTACCGAATCTGGTCATTTTTGGGTCTTGGAATGACCACTTACACGGCTTGGTACCTTGCTATTGCAGCCATCCTTCATGGCCAGGTGATAATTAAATCACTTGTCTATAGCCACACTTTTTATGATATCTTATTATACCCTTGAAAATTGAAACAATTAACGATCAGTAAAGTACTATGCCATACGATATTCAACATCTTGCAAATGATGTTTGCAGGTAGAAAATGTGACACACTCGGGTCCAACAAAGCTAGTGTTATACTTTACTGGAGCCACTAACATACTATACACGTTTGGAGGACATGCTGTGACTGTGTTAGTTTACCTTTTCCTTAGCAGAATCATGGATCTATATTAATTATTCTATCCTCCGTCATATTTCTCTTGTTCGTTTTTTTCTGTTTTCCTACACGGCTTCTCTTTGCGGCTTTTGTCGGTTATCTCGATTTTCGAGACCTGCGGGCAGCAACAAAATCATGCGAAAACGGCTTTTTCTTGTTTTACTTTTGTTGGCTTGAAAAGGCAGAGTATTCGTCGCTTCTTATTATATCTGGGAAAATTCTAAAGTTGAATGGTCGTTATTTCTACTTTTTGATTGTGCGTCCTTTCTAAATTAAGTAAACTTTGGATACCGAAAAATTACAGTTTTATTGGATGGTCGGTTCCTATCGTATCTTTTGTCCCCAACCAGCGCAAAGTTCTAGTTATACACTAAATTCATTCCATCAACGTGTTGATTTCACGACAAAAAAGTACAATAAAGTCAAAAACCTTAAAATACTATAGAAGCTATATATTAATATAATTATTTGAAAATATTATAAAAAAATATGTTATTAATCACAGCCTCCATTTTTATTGTGATTATTCTTGCTAGATGTTTTGTGCATAAAGTGAATAATGGTGACAAATGTTGCAGAGAGATTATGCATGCCATGTGGCAGCCCCGAAAGTTCAAATACATCTACTTGCTAGCCACTTTGTACGTTTTCACACTAACGATTCCTTCCGCCGTAGCCGTTTACTGGGCTTTTGGTGATCAGCTTCTTGACCACTCCAACGCCTTCTCTCTCCTCCCCAGCTCTGGCTTCCGTGACGTTGCCGTTATCCTCATGCTCATTCACCAGGTATATCTCCCACATTGAGTTTAATTTGTTGAACACAATGGCATGCATGTGATGGATAAACTTGTATTAGTGAGTGACAGAAAATGTAATGTGTGTAAATATGAATGCAGTTCATAACGTTTGGGTTTGCGTGTACTCCGTTGTACTTCGTGTGGGAGAAGGTGATTGGAATGCACGACACAAAGAGCATTTGTTTGAGGGCACTTGCACGGTTGCCAGTGGTGATACCAATATGGTTTTTGGCTATAATATTTCCTTTCTTTGGGCCCATTAATTCAGCTGTTGGCTCTCTCCTCGTTAGCTTCACTGTCTACATCATCCCTGCCCTAGCCCATATGCTCACTTATAGAAAACCCTCTGCCAGACAGGTAAATCTTCTCATCTCTTTCCTTACCCCACCTCTTATGTCACTTCTGCCCCCATTTTAATCACTCTCTCACACTACCCATTCATTTTCAATATCATTTATATCTCTCTCTAAATTAGTCACAATCATCCAACAACACCGTGTTGCTGTGAAACTCAGCTTCATCTCATAAATAACATCTTAATTTATGTATTATAGATAAAATTAAGAAAAAAAACATAGTTGAAATGAGATATTCCATTAAAAGTGAGTAATAAGGTTTTTTTTTTTTTTTTATAGATTTAGTTATTAGTAAAACTGAAAGATATTTCGTACTAATAACATGTTAAAAGATCCGTCAAATATTGTCACATAAATTTTACTTACATTAATTTTTTTAGTAAAAATATCATTTTAAATTTAGTTAATATTGTATAATTATCTTAATTTATCACTTTCAGTATATTATTGATAATATTAACGACTAAAACAAATTTTTTAAAAATTACAATCACTAAAAATAATAATTTTAAATTAAGGAATAAAAATAAATTTACCTTGAATATAAAGTACTAAAAGCAATTTTTTTTCATTTTGTAGAATGCTGCTGAGAAGCCTCCTTTCTTCATGCCAAGTTGGACTGCAACGTATGTCCTCAATGCATTTATTGTGGTATGGGTTTTGGTGGTTGGATTTGGGCTTGGAGGATGGGCCAGCATGATCAACTTGTTAAAGCAAATTGATACATTTGGACTTTTTGCCGAATGCTACCAGTGTCCCATACCACCACCAGCGGGAGCACCACCACCTCTTGCCCATTCCTTACCTGATGGAGGAGGTGATCTAGTAGGATCATGGTCACCTCCAAATTTATTGAAGATTATTTAAATTACTATAAAAAATTAGTTATATGTTAAACATTTTTTTTTATGTTATATGCATGTAGAATTTTCTTCTTCCTCCTCCTCCTCTTCTTTTTTTCATTTTTGGCCGTCCTGAAATTAAAGTTCTGTCTCTGTCTCTATGTGCATCATGATGTTAGTTGTCATGGGATTCAAACATTGTAAAGTATTTTAAGTTTATTCATCTGGTAATTATCCGAAAATAAATTCCTCACACCTTACATACTTGACACGAGCTGTGTCCAAAATTAATTCAATACAATTAACATTCAATAATTTTTAATGCTAATGTATTTAAATGGAGAGAATATACGTACATACTAGACTTCTATATCAATTGTGACAAAAATTATTTAAAAAGTATTCTACACATCAATCGTAGAGAATCCGATCCAAATAATGTCTTGCTAGAAGTCTCAAAATTTAGAAAAGAATGTCAATATTCTACATTGATGGTTAAATAATCTATATAGAAAATACATTCTAAATTAGTTTATCTAATAATCGATTTAGATTTTTTTAATTAGTTATTTAACAATCAATTTAAAATGTGTTTCCCAATAATGTACAATAACCATCGTGTCACATACTATATATTGGTTTTACTAAAACCAATGTAGACCGACAGTGTTCAAAGTCTTATTTTACTAGTTATATTAAACGCACAAAAAAATCATAATCATTTAAAAATAAATTTTTTTTTTATCTAATAGCTTCTAAAATAAAAGTGTCACCGAATCCAAGACTCAATCCACAAATGCTAAAAGAATGTCAAAATAGCATACAAACGAAACATAATATAAAAAAGTTATATATAAAACGCAACTAAATTTCAAATGGGTGTAAGATTCGACAAAATTAAGTACGTCATAATTTTCAACATCAAATATAATGCGGACTTTAATTTGGAAAAAAAATTATATAATGTTGAAAATAAATCAAATGGCAATTAGACAATGAATGAATAAATAGGCTCTTGACTAACAAGCAACATTTTTCGATAGTATCAAGTCCTTAATATTAACCAACAACTTTGGCCATTGATACATTTCTTGTAGCTAGGGATGTCTCGGCCACAAAAATGTTGCGCATCTTTTGAGATTGATTGAAGCTTGAGTGGTTAATTTTGTGATCGGACAAAAATTAAATAAGAATAGTAATTGAATCTTTAGAAACAAGTGATAGGTTAATTTATAAATTGGTCATTTTTTCTTACTTGAATTTTCTCTCAATTGTAATATGCTTTAATTCTTGCAAATTCAATTTTTTTTTCTCTAATGCTTGTGACAATCCTTATGAGACGACAAAGATAGTTTGTTTGTCATGTACTATAGTTTTATTATTCCTATTATTATTTGACCTACGTACCCCAACATATTTGGGAGACAAACCAATGAGAGAAGAATGAGTAACTCTATGCACGTTTGCTTGAATATTTAATATAAAGCTCGCAGTTTTCCATTTAAATTTTATATAACATTTAATTTGATATTAGACCAAAGTTTAATGGTTGTAGTGTCAATCTAAAGAGCCCTTTAATTGTAATATATGTTGACCCCATTAAGGCAGTTAAATTTAATGGCAGATATAATATAGATATGAGTGTTCAGAGTTGAATTTGATTCAGATTAAAATAAGGACATGTTTGATTCTACATTAAATATATCTGGAATTAATTTCATTGTATTTAAAATGACTAAAATCATACTTATAGTATGTTTGATTATTAGTAAAATTGATTTTAAGATGTGAAAATTAACATCTACTTAGAAACAACCATATATCAGTAGCTTCTCTATATATCAAACAAAATCAATTTTGAGATTTTATCTATCCAGATTTATAATTACGCACTCGAAATCAATTTTGATAACAAATTTTTAAACAATATTTAATATGAAAATCAAGTTTATACCATTTGTTATCCAAACGAAAATTACATTACTTATGACTAATGCTTACTAAAAAGAAATTATGTAAATTCACATTGATTCAAAATTAATTATATTAATGCATATTTAAACACACAATAAAATAAGTCAAAATTAATCAATTTTTACAATCTAAATCAAACCAAATCGATCAACAATAAATTGATTCAGTTAGAAATAATCAATTTTTTAAAAAAATATTGTCATATTTCAATTTTTTAAAACATAAAAAAAATACATGATTTCATCTCAAAATTTAAAAATAAATTTATTAATAAAAAAGTGAACATTCAAATGTAATTAAAAAAGTAATATAAAAAATATGAAATTAAAGTAGTTCAACAAAAATTAAAGTAATTCAATATAGTTGAATAATGAGTACCAAAAGAGATAGTGTGAGTGAGTGAGGGGAGGAGGTGCCACATGCAACCCTAGGCATGGTAAGTGGTGACACTAGGAATCCTAGGTAAATCCATACGGGACAGGATGTCAAGTGACTAATGTTAATGTGTTATTAATTAATAATACAATAAAATTATGAATAAAAAAAATTAGTTTAGTTTTTATATTATCGTCTTTGTAAAATACAAATCCGTGATCTGAACTAACTAAGGTTGAATTTATTTAATTTAAATCAAATTTGATTTGATAAAAAAATTCAAATTAATTTAATTAATTTGGTTTGTATTGTTAATTTTATCGGATTATTCAAATCAATAAAAAAATTCTAATATAAATTAAGGAAAACTAACATTAAGTATTTGGTATTTAAATTATACATGTATTAAAATGACTTCTATATATAATAATAACTTATGATTATTATGTATTAAAAATTTGATATAAATATATGTATACTCACATCAATATATTCGTACAGTGATCTCACTTTAAAAACAACACTGCATGAACCCTTTATCATCTTCAATATTTTAACATTTTCTTTTTCATGGTTTTTCTATGTTTTGTGAAAGGAACAAAATTCAAGCTTGTGATCTCATGGTTTACGCCACCAATATTTTAGAAGGATAGAAATTCCTAATGGGACTTGAGGTTTTTTTCTCAAAGATTATAGTAACTTTGTTGTTTGAGATAAGAAAATAACTTAGGACATGACTATAATGATGTGACTTGATAGGCAGACAGTTGGATGAAATTAATGTGTTGGAATGAAATTTTATTATAGTGAAGAAAATATTTGAGAAATGAGAAATATTAGAAGTTTCTAAGTAAGAGATTACATATATAATTGGTTTTTTTTTACTTAATACAAATTTTAAGACATCGTTCTTATTTATATTATTAGTGGTTCTCCCTAAATTAATTAATGGTTACAATTTTTTCAAAATAAATTTAATCTAATGACTACAATTCTACAATTATTCTCTGAAAGTATCTTTTATATTTGCAAACTTAATCACACATTTTAGATAATTCTATGTACAAATTTAGAATTATCTTCTAAAGAGATTATTTTAGAATATGCTTGTAGAAGTTATTTTTTTTTATACAAATAAAACCTAAAATCAAGTTTATATTTTAATACTCTTTCTTAAGCTTGATTTTGTTACTCCGATCAAACTTCTCAACCTAGTAAGGTCTTTTTTTCTAATTGGCTTGGTGAAGATATTGGCTACTTGATCATGAGTCTACATGTACTCCAAATGCACATCCTTTCTTCTGGCAATACACACTCTAATGTAGTGGCAACACATATCAATCTGCTAAATTTGATCATGGAAAATGGGTTATTAACTAAAGTTATTGTTAACTTGTTGACCACAAAATTTTGGTCATCTCTTCTTATGACAAACCCAACTCTTTCAATAGATTTCGTAACCAAATTTGATGGCAAACATGAGGTAGCAACATGTAGAAAAAGTAACAATTGATTTCTTTTTTGACATCCATGTGATGGTATTATCTCCCATAAAAATATAAACCCAATTGTGTTTCTATGGTCATCCACATCTCCAATCCAATTACTACCATTATATCTAACAAGTTCATAATTATTAGAAATAGAATAGTATAAACCAACATTTGTTTTACCTTTAATGCATCAGCAAATTCTTCTTGTTGCATTCAAATGAATGGTTTTTGAATTCTCCATGTAACAACCAACAATTCTAACCACATACAGAATAATGGACCTTCTGCATGTTATATATTGCAAACTTCCAATCAAGTTTTTAAAGAGAATAATGGATCCATATTCCATTGGTGTGTCAAACCAAATTGAAGTCATTCATCTTGATCTTCTTATATCACCTTTATACAACAACATTCTTAAACTATGAAGCACCAACTCTGACATAGACACCTCACACAACACAAACACAAACACTGAGACACAATTAATATCCCAAAAGTAGGATATGGGAACACAACTATATATATAAGCTTTACAATTTTTATATGATAATGACCTTTGAAATATGGACCATCTTAAAAGTTAAAACATCGAATAATTCTTATGAAAATGAGCCTCAAGATAGATTAAAAAAAAGTACTATGAGTCTTGCAAGATTTATAAATAAGCTATATTTTTATTTTTTTTATAATAGAATATTACACTACTAGAAAAATGGAAATTAGAGACGGAAAAAATCCGTCACAAAATTATTAGTGACGGAATTTGTGACGGATTTTGAATCGTCACAAAAAATGGCGTCACAAAATATTTAGTGACGGAAAAATTCAGTCCGTCACAATTAGTAACGGAAATATGTCGTCACTAACTAATAAATTTTCTGTCGCAATTTGTGAGGGAACGCATTCGTCACAAACTATGAGGGATTCAAAATCCGTCACAAATTGTGAGGGATTTAAAATCCGTCACAAATTGTGAGGGATTTAAAATCCGTCACAAATTGTGAGGGATTTAAAATCCGTCACAAAATCCTAATTTTTTATTTTTACGAATTTTTAAATAAAAAATAATTAAATTATTCCAGATTTATTAATTATACAATATATATTATTTTCACTTTTTATTTCTAATCTACAAGTATTAATTATTAATTTTCAGACAATTGGCACTTGGCAGTGGTAAGATTCGAACTCCTTACCTCTACTCATTCTAACCTTAACACTCATTCTCCAGCCATCTGAGCTACCTTATGAGAATAATATCAAACATCATTAAACATCAAACTAATAAATTTAAAATAGATTCATAATTAAAATCATAATATAATTTATTT